GCGTAGGTGTGTGACGTCCTACTGGAATTTGCACAACAAGGAAGTAAACTCTGCTTGCTCGGGAAGGATCTTCCGATGTAAACTGAAAGTTCATTAGACCGGTCTCTAATAGAATTTTAAGCACGTCGCTTATCCTTCCGGGGTCTAGGTTTAAGTCAAATATCTCAGTTGACTTATTTTAACACGCCCTTGTCTGAAAAGCCGAGGTGGGGGCACGAAAACACCGATCGGTAAGTAAACTTAAACTCCGTAGGACCGCGTGTGTTCGTAGAAGGAAGCACCCTGCCTGCACACATCACACATACAAATGTAGTAATGGTATAAGCACTGGTAAAATAGAGTCCTCCTCGCCTCGAAAGATGTGTGCATGTGTCGCTAGTAGTGGAGGCAGTGGCGGTCCTAGTTTGAATGGCACCCTGCGCAAAAGCACACTTGGATGCCAACCCCCCCCCCCACCCCCCTTACAGGCACAGGCATCCACAGACGAAAAACGCACTTATAAATATATTGAATTTAAAATACGAATATAGCAACTGCAAAGAATATTTACATTTGTGGAAAGAGAGAATTAAACGTATTAAAAATACACACCCTTTACCATCTATAAATGGGGGGGGGATTACAATTTGCAGTTATATATTTTTGAGCTGTGGAGATGTAGATGATTGTGCGTCCTCAGTGGGAGAACATGTTCTAATATATTTGAGGAGTTCTAACATTCCATACAAACACAATCTAATTTTTAAATGAAACGTGCATGATTGAGCACAGACATTATTTTGTTTCATGTTATTAATTTGATTGTCAATGCAGAGATAGTATCAGTAAGGCAGAGGGCCTATCTAATCCTATTATGAGCACTTATTGTTCGGTTGACCTCACACTAAGATACATCATCGAATGACAATTCATTTGAACCGAAATAACGTAATTTATAAAAAAAAAAACATTTTCATATTAACTTATTAAAAACATCTTAGCGAGATGCTAGTGAAGGTTTTGTGACAGGGTATCACAATTTGCACCCTCGTATTTTTTTCTTAAAAAAAAAAAACAAACCAAAAAAAGACAGCATGCTAGTTTTTGATCTAATGTCAGTTTATTGGAACCAAAATTTGCATTGATTAACTTGGCATTGTCAGTAATCATCACCAGTGTCAGAACGCTGAATCCTTTTTTAATTTCTCTTACCAACATCCTATGAAAACACTTTTGGGTGCAAGTATCTTAGCCAGAGGCTAGATAAACACTAAAAAGTTTATTGTTGATTGCACGCCCCCAGCGTCCCCTTCTCGACACTTCTCCAAGAATACTAACTTACTCTTATTTTGATGTAATGTGCAATCATTTGATCCGGACAAAGTAGAGAACATCGCAAATTGCAATCGGCGATAACCTCTCACTTCAAACATTTATTAGCAAAATCCTTGACGATCTCACATTTCTCTGTTATTAGCCTCTTGCTAAGATGCTGACTCACCCTTTTTTTTAAATACTTGTTTTTAAGAGGCAGTGCAAGGGTTCTCAAAGAAAAATGCTGACCAGCGGAACATGAGCTGGTTGTTGACAATTTCAAGATGGAACCCGCCCATAAAAATCATACTGTAGGGATGAAAAATAAAATGTCGGTATCTTCATACCTGCACCGTTTGCTCATTGTTACTTTTTCATCTTTTCTTTGCTTTCAAAACTGTGCACCTGATGGCTTTGACCTTTACCTCTTCGTGTTTACAATAAGTATAACTACATTTCCCATCATTCCCCAAGACCCCTGTGCTTGACCCCAACTCTGTATCAAATCTTCACAGGGCAACACAAGGGTAGGGCTCCAGGCTAACTCTTTTTTTAAAATTTTTTATTTATTTATTTATTTTTTTTACTAGGAGCACAGTGGCCCCATCTTGAAATTGCAGGGCAACAAGTTAAAAAATGTTGGTGTTTACATTGTATCTAATATTCATATTTCCACTCATTGTCATTGTATTCCTGATACGTGGGCTGAAGTATGGTGCAGAAGTTTGCCCGCTACAAAAAAATATGAAGAATGAATGAATAAGTAAATGAAAGTGGAAAATGTACTGCTGACCCATGTGCGAGTAGATGAAAAATGTACTTGCACTTACTCAAATTGGAGCCGCAAAAGGCCACCGTTTTGGGGCAGTCTGAAGCCCTTTACGTGGAGGTGCAAATTCCCCACACAAATGCCCATTACTGTCACATCATGATGCTACTACATAACAGAAAATCATTTAAAATAGCTATTTTTTGTTGATTTTATTAAATTTCGGGGTGCTTCACCATCCCCCCAGCAATATGGCCCTATGGGGTGAAGGTGGAATTTCTACATGATTTGACCAATAATCAAATACCTTGGTGGATTTCCGGGGTGCGCGTCAATGGGCTCAGGAATGACCACATGCACACATCTATGGAGTCAGGAAGGCGCAGACAAAAAAAAATAGTGTGTTTCCAGTAACCTGACCGACCGAGAATTTCTACGTCGAAAAAAAACTTGATGGTCGGCATTTTTTTCAAACAACCCTCTACATTTTTGTGTAGAGGGTTTACATCGGTGCAAACTCTCGCGATATTCACGTTGAGCGCGTGCGTCGTTTGCCCTGTCGTCTGTCAACAACATTGAAACATGGCGGCGGCCGCGATCTCCGACGACAGTTTAAACCGCGTTTGCTGTGGTACAGTCGCATGCTCGCACCGTAATGTGAAGAAAATAGCATCTATTGATGTATCGAAAAAATTCAGCGAACTATTTGATGAACACCACGGGCTGAGTAAAAACCGAGGGCGGAGGCGGCGCCCTGGCTCCCCGAGTCCGGAGTGGAGAGAAAACGAAATAGGTGGCGGCGGCGACGGCAGCGGGACGGCGGGGGGGTAGGGGACGGTGTCGGGCGCGGGGTCGGTCGGTGCGCGTTGCCTTCGGCGGCGAGTGGGGGGTTCATTGTGTCCTTGTTTTATGGTTATTTTGTTTTTGTTTTATGTTTTATGGTTATTTTGTTTAAATTTTTGATGGAAAAAAAAAAAGATTAAAAAAAAAAAAAAAACTTTGTCCGACCTACCGTCCCTATGCTGAAATTTCATGTTCCCGGAAACACACTATCTTTTTTGTTTGGCCTCACACAGAAAAGTATTTAGTCCCTAACATATAGTCTAAGACAGCATAGATCAAGCCAATTATTCTAAACAGAGCTCTACGTCATCAACTTCTCCTCACCGCCAGGGTAGTGAGGCAGAGTGACAAAGACACCTTTCCCTTGACCCACCTTTAATACAATTCCCCAAAAAGGGTGTGTGTGTGTGTGTGTGTGTGTGTGTGTGTGTGTGTGTGTGTGTGTGTGTGTGTGTGTGTGTGTGTGTGTGTGTGTGTGTGTGTGTGTGTGTGTGTGTGTGTGTGTGTTTTCAGGCATGGGCAAATGGTCTGAGAGGACAGTCCGGGTGTTATCAACTGGATCTGTCAGATTCAGTGTGAATTGTCCTTCTATTGTGAATCTTCCTTTGATGTGGATATGGTCTTCCACATTTGGCCGTCTTCTGTTGTTGGAAGTGGTCGTCCTGCTGTGGGGGCCCTTTTAAGTGCCAATTGTGATCTCCAGTCCAGGGTCCCCCCTTGCTTTTGGCACCTTGGCACACCCTCTTCCTCAATCACACCCAAATGCAAACGGTCTCTCATTTACACTCAGAAAAACATCATTATTTGCAGTCACGCATTCTAAACCTTCACTCGAATCATCTATAACCATGAAAAGCAGCACTGACACAACAGCAAGTATTTTGTGACTGGATGAAAAGCAGCAATACGGCAATATGAAAGCCTGTACTGTGAATGAAAATCCCTTCAGCGGCTACACGTATTGCACATATCATAAACCACCTCTGATTGTAGGGCTTAGGATGGATGTGTTGCAGGAGAGAAGCATGCAGCATCATAGTTTTTTTTTTAATGATTTTGCTTACCAATGTAGCTGCAGGCAACATATTAGTATTAGTGCTTTTAAAATCTTGTTTGATGCAGTGCAGTTGTTGTTCTCTGCACATCATAACTACTCTGATACATATCTAAACTCAGCATTGCAATATTTGTCAACACAGAATGTTTTATGTTTCTTCTATACTGCAATGAATGTGTTGCCTCCGTTTGTGTGCGTTCAGGCATCAGCCTACACAGCACTTACTGTGAGTCAGTAAACAAAGTGAGTGTGTTTGCACTCAAATAGTCTCATGACTGCAGGTTTTCTTTTCTGTTTCCTGCCTTTGTAAAATCATGTGGTTTGCTAAAGCTTGTTTCTGCTCCTTTGGGCTCTCTCTATCCAGTTGACTCTGTTTTGGGAATATTATGATGAAGGGATTAGTCCTGTGTGCTTTGCTCTTTCCACTGGTGCCAATAATAGAACCACTCATAGAAGGTCATGGTTATCATCCTGTAATTTAATTTATGCACTTTATTGTCATCTGCCATCCAGGTATATTGTCATCATTCAGGGACCACAAAGGAGAACCTTAGGAAGGAGTCATGAGCCTAGACGACATACCACAGATGGATGGAACATGTGATGCATGTGAGCCTGACGAGGCTCAAGTGGCCACCCAAGTGTGCCACAACTGCAGCTTTGCCTTCTGCTCTTTGCATGCTGACGAACATGCTTCCAGTACACACCACTCATTAGCGCCCTATGACCAGGAGGGGATGCACGCTAATGGACGTACCACAGACGCATACTCGGGATTTGGAAGTGGGACCAAGGAGCCTCCGCCTCCTTTGGAGGGGGTGCCGAATGAACAGGATGGGGATTTGAGGCATGAGACTGGTGATATGAATGGCCATAAATCCAAGAAAGCCCTGCTGCTGCAGGGAGCTGATTTGGGAGCCGATTTGAGGGGCGAGGGTTCTGAAGGTTTGCCGGTGGACAAAGCTGTTACAGAGGCAGTGAAGGACAGTGTATCAGTAGATAGGCTACGTTGCATGGAGCATGGGCAGGAAGGCTCCCTCTACTGTAAACCGGATGAGAAGATCATCTGTGTTGTGTGTGCTATGCAGGGTGAGCACCAGGGACATGAGATTATCACCCTGCATGATGCCTACATCTGGCAGAAGGTGAGTCATGCACATGGAACGTGACTGTTTATAATGCAATCCATAGCTATGACAGTGGTTTAGGATGAAAAATCTCAATCTCAGTTTTTGTCAGTAGCATCTTTGACACGGCCATATCACAAAGTTGCCACATCACAGCAGCAACACAAGACCGAGTTGTCCGCCTTTAGCTTATACACAGGACCTGATTTTTGTGACATTCGGCTTGTCCTGTCAGGGGTCACCACAGCGCGTCACTTGCATGGTTTGTTTCACACATGAAGTGGGATATTGCAGCAACTTTGTGTGCTTTCACACTGCAACTTGGCATCCCACAAGCATGACGACAACAGCGCCGGCCGGCTTCTGGTGTGACATATGAAATACCTGTTAGACGTCGACAATTGTTTTCAGAGAAATAAGTGACAAAACTGAGTGTCCCCTCCACATTCCTAGCATATCAGTCATCTAGTGTTGATGTAAAAAAAAAAATGACTTCGATACTATGCTTGTGTAAAGTACCTTGATACCGATATTGAAATGATACCACGGCAAAAAACCGAAAACGTCAGTTAAAAGCAATGCAATCACAGATGACAAAACACAGAACTTAAAATTATGTGAATTTGTATGAATTCAAACTATTGCAGTCGAGTGCTTTGTTACAGCTGCAGCTGTTGTGAAAGCGCTATATAAATCAGGATGTATTGTATTGAGAATATTAAATGAAATAATGTTTATCCTTTATTATTTTCATGTCCGATTATATGGTCTGAACATTTTATTTCATTTTAAAAATAAATCAATCAGTAGCACTCAATCGTAGCATATTATGGATTCAACTTATTTTTTTCTCCTTAGCTATTTCTGTTGTTGCCCCTCTGCCCTTGCGCTACTGTTGTATGGAGCCTGAGGCTGAATAAAAGTACAATGCAGTCTGCTGCAGTGAGCTCATATGACCTTCGTTCTTTCCACAAACAATTACTGTACATCTTTCATAGGTGTGACTAATAAATAGCTGAACGGAATTACACAAACTCTTATTGGAGAAGTGTCTGCTGTTTGCCAAAGTGTGTACAATTACCCCAACTGAAAACATGTATCATTTCATTTTTGTTTATTGATTGTGGTAATTTAGCACCGGTCTGTAACCCTACAGTCTTCCCATATGCACAGGCAACTTCTGTTTTGGCTGTGATCTCACCACCAAAGGTAGAATGGTCTCGGGACCACACCATTTCTGTTTTGTGGCATTTACACAGAACAGACCCCTGGGGGGGCGAAAAAAAGATCAATGTAAGACCTGCCTGCCAAAGTGGAACACAAGGTCAAACACAATCAATTGTGAAACACTGATTTTATTGTTGTCATATTTTCATATTTCACAATTGGTTTACATAAGATCGATACCATTACTCTCGTTATTCAAAGACATTGAAAAGGCTCCGAGCAGTCTCTATGGTAATGTTTGCACTAGTAGCTTTGGTGCCTCCAATTTCTTCAGTCCCAAGATTTGGTCACACCCTTTTTGGGGAGCTACAACATGACTATATTTGCTGTTTTAGTAGGCATAATCACTGTTTAGTATGATGGTAAGATTGACAGTGATTGAAGATATGTTTCCATAATATTTTACTGCAGCAAGCAGTGGCTGATAAAACAGGTTGATTATTTTATATAATTTTAAAAGAAAGCATAACAAAAAACAAACAAAAAACAAAAGGCTTTACTTTTAAATCAACATATTTTTTCAACTAATAAGGGCCAGCTCTTTTAGTATGGAAAGAGATTTGTCTCAAAATTATTCACACAAATACATCCGCAATTTTCATGTGTTTTCCGGATCCACAAATACATGTATATCTGCAATTTGCACACGTAATTGTTTTGGTTTTGTTTTTAATGTGTGTGCATTGATCATGACTTATCATTTCATGATGACATATCATTATTCATTTCTGCTTGTGAATCGTTAAATGTGCATTTGTAGATTAGCGGGCACACACATTTATTTTTGAGACAAACGTCGGACAGTTGTCAAAATCTGCACTCACGTTTCAAACATTCATGTGTGGAAGGGCCTGTCCCTCCTCCACCTACTCAGACAAAGGTATCTATCTATCTATCTAGCTATCTATCTATCTATCTATCTATCTATCTATCTATCTATCTGTCTGTCTGTCTGTCTGTCTGTCTATCTCTACAGTGTACACACACACACACACACACACACACACACAATTGTTAAAAATAGCCCAGGACAGCTTACCATTTTAGCAGGAACAGGAGCAGTGACCATCATGGAGTGTTGTAGCATTGCTGTAGAAACAGTGTTGTCCTCTGGCCTGCGGTTGAGCCTCTAAAAAACACAGTAGCTTACATTAGCTGCAGCACTTTCCCTTCCATCAGGGCCACATATGGATTGGTGCGACACAAAGGGGGTCACTCACAGCCCAAGGCTGTATTATTTATGCTAAAACCACTCAATCTTTTTATCCACTTTCTGTGTATTCCTGTGAGAGACTTGCAGCGGTCGTTCTGTGTAGTCCCTTTGGTTTGAGTTTTTGAATCTTTGCCCCTCATACTTCGCCTTCCCCGCCTCATTATACTGCTAAAGCTATTGTGAAACCATTCCAGCAATTCAAACCTGAGTTGAATCCATAATTGAGGTTCACTGATATTTGTCTCTCCTGTTTGTACGAATACTACCAATGATAATTGATGACAACCTTGCATCTATTGTTTTCTGTGTATGCTGTAGAGTAGGCACCTTTGTGACCTGCTGGACTCTATACAACAGATGGAAGAAAAGATCTCAAAAAAGTGGACAAATTCAGAGGTGAGTCTAAAGCTCTCAATAAACAAAGTGATGACAAAAAGCAGAGAAAGAATGATAGTTTTTGCTTTATCCTTGGAGGATTTGCAGTTCGTGAGCCAACTGCCATATGTTCTTTCATCATTATTATTATTTTAAATAGAAAAAAAGCAAGCTTTCAAACAAACTCTATTCTGCTGCTCAAAGTATACTCTACTATACGATAATATACTAAGCTACATAGCAACATCATGCATGGTAATGATTTTATCTCTTTTAGCTGTAAGACACATTCAAAGATGTTCTGTTAATGACCAAAATATGAATATATTATTTGTTGCTTTTAGACGCCTAAAGAATTGTTCAAATAAATACATGTCTTGGAATAAGACGATTTTTCCTGAGTTTACATGTATATTATTTTTGCATGAGCTAATTTGAATTGTCGTAACTGAGCCACTTTATCTCGTGATTTATCAGTTTCTCCATTCACAAAAAAGAACTTGGTTGGATTTAGTTCATGCAGATAAAATTGTCGAAGAGACTTATGTGATGGCTAACTTTAGCCTTCACTTTTGATGTCAGTCTTTCACATTGACGATAAGCAATAGTAATTCTGACATTGTCTTACATAATTGAGGAGAATGCGTCCAACCAGATTTCCTCTCGCTGTGGCTTAAACCCCTGTGGACCAAAATCAGTTAATTGAATCAAGGATGTAGCGGGATGCGTGTTATGTATTTCAAACAGGTGTACATACAGAACATTCAAATAAATAAAACGTGGGATGGATGGGCTGAAACTTTTGATATATTGCAGTGACATGCTGCACAAATAACATTCTGAGTGTACAGGGACAATTTACACCTTTATTAATTATGGCTCCGTGGTAAGGTATTCCTTGTCTATTACTCTTCTCAGACTTACAGACTCTGGTTCATATTGATTGTGCTGGAGCTGTAAGTTCCCCGTTCTTATTGATATCAATTTAATGGCAGCAGAAAATAGAGAGAGAGAGGGCTCCCCAACAGCAATTTATTGCTGCTTTCAAGGTGATATTAGTTCAGCTTTGGTAACTTATCTTCAATGCTCAGCTGATGTGTGTAGTGATGAATGCAGTATAAATACGATTGGGATAGATCAACTGTGAGCAGACACGTTACCCTGTTTTGCTGGTCTATCCTCCGTCCGCGACCTGGGTGCCCTTCCGTCATTGTCCCTTCGTCCTTAGTGACATAATAATCGTCCTCCGTCCCGGTCCGTCCTCATCGTTTTAAAGCGCTTCTGTACCAGTTTTATGGTATTATCTCCGGATTTTATGGCTAATCTTGAAGCCACACACAATATGGCGGATTGGGTTGACATATCGCTTTGACAGGGTTCAACAATTATATGCAACAGAATTGGCAAGGAAAAGGAAGAGCATATTGATGTTCCTTTTAGATTTCCAGAGTTTATGGCTCCGATGAAGTCTTGTAGTAAACGGTTCAAATGGCTTTTTAGTTGCCGACACTAATGTTTCCGTATATGTCCTTCCTAACTTGCCATATCAGGATGCAGCATGACAGTCTAAACGTCTCCTAATGTGCCAATACTGCAATCGATAGTTACCAAATTGTATGTTTACATATTTACTTATGCTCACATCAACCTCTGAAAATATTTCGCCTTCATTTTAGGGATCTTAGGGTGTTGTCCTCTTCATAGAGGCGCTCACTATAAAGCTTATGTCACTTCATGAGAGAAACGCGTCGTCCATAGAATACAAAATACATGACATGCTTCCCACGTTACTCACTGATTCACTTTGAAAAATGTGTGGGACTCTACATTGATGTATTCATCGCGTACACGCCTGCATAACAAACCTTATTTCAGTAACGCCGTGATTGGCTGTCGCAGATAAGACTGGCCATCAATCTAACAAAAATGACATCACAGTTTCTTTATAGTTTTTAATGTCTTCATGATAAGCAAATCAACATTAGTACCTCACAACTACTATGCTACTATAATATAGTAGTCCTGGACGAACGGACCGTTCTGTCGCAGGTATGCAATGTCCAACTCTGGAGATCACCACTCTCATCGAGCAATATCCTTGTTTTAAATGTGATTTTGCAGAGTAGTTGTGGTAGTAGAAATTGATAATGCTGCACCTTTCTCCTTCTGCAGTGAATGTCCTTAAATGAGAACTTCAACGGGAGTGGGGTGGTACAAAGCTGTGCCTTTGCGACAAATAAGTTGGCTGTAGTGTAAGGTCTTTCTCAGGGTTGTTCCCCACGGCATACTGTTTCTGCCCTCGTAAATCTGATTACCCTTATCAAGTGTTTTACATTCAGTATGTTAATTATCTACCCAGTGTTGTGCGATGTGGCTTAGTTTCATCTGCAAACACTGCAAATGGAGAACAAGCTTTTGGTACCTCACCATTATAGAGTGTAACACTATTGCAGAACACATTTATTTAGTCAGCCATAGGAAATACTGCAATGTGATAAGGGGTCACCGTATAGAAAAAAAAAAATCAAACATAACTTTGCAAAACATGTTTTATTTCCCATCCTGGGATTTATTTTGCAAATCTAACTTGACTGCCCTAGTTGTGTAATGCACAATGTCAAAGTGAGCGCCAAGGACAGGTACAGCTACCATAGTCTTGGGCTGCCATCCATCACTGAGAGCATCTGTATTCCCGCTCTATCAGCCATCTACAGTAGCTCCGCGTTAACTGGGTCTGAACCCAGTGGAAGAAATGAGAGCACAGGAGCATTGTTAAGTGCCCGCAGAGATTTGACCCAAGAGCAGTAGCGTATTGTAGAAGGTTAATTTGAGTAACTGGCAGCTGGCGCCGTATCCAAATATGCGTGCTATTATCATTTTGAAATATCAATGCTGCCCCCAGGACTGCCTTTACATTAATCAGTCATCTGCTGTTTCAGTATAGAGGTGCAGTGCACCAGCTGAAACCCACTTTCCTGCTTCCTCAAGGGGCAATGGTAGCGATATTATGTGGATTTGTCAGCGTGTCCTCTCCGCACTCCCAAATGTCAGCGCCTGCATTATTATGCATGGCAGGCGAGCATCAGAGTGGCGGCTTCTGGTAAGCAAAGGTCTCTGTGTGAGAGAGCTCGTAAAAGAGCGAGACAGAAGTTGCACAAGTTTGAGTCGTGTTAACGGCTTTCAAAATTTGAGGAGAAAAAGGGGTGTCTGGATTGAGAATAAATTACCATTGACTCTTTAAAAGTTAACCTTGCTTAATTATTCATACAAAAGGGGATTTCACGCTTTTTCAACACATATACGATGGTTTTGAATCTCAGTAAATTGGTACAAAGGTCTGTGCAGCCTAGAAAAGCCTGGTCACAAATTTGCATGTATTGTGTGCATTAGCTAAATGTGTCTTCTCTGCCTCATAAAACCTTCAAGATCAGCAGACACATATAAGCTTGTCTTCTGGAGGAGAGGCGAGGGAACAACCAGGACAGACCTCGAAAAAAAAAAGACTCAGTTTCTTTTTACATCAGGTGTTTATAGTTTTTCCTCTCGTCTACTTTGTCCTATCTTCTCTCCTCCTACTTTTCTTCTCTTCCCCCTTCTCCCATTGCGCGTCGTAAGTTTGTAGCCCTGCCGCTGCTCACAGAATTTTAATTGGGTGACTCAGTATCATTCCCAAAGAAGGTGGCTTGGCATGCTACTTGGGCTTCTGTCAAAACCAGTGTAAAGTTGTTGTTTTCTTTCCCCACTAAGTTTTCTTCTTCCTATTTCAATGTGTCCACTTTAGGGGTGCACTTAATGATTATTTTAGTAATCGTTTAATATGTTAATTAGTTGGTCAATTAATCGATGAATTGGACAAAACTGTTTTGATTTCTCTTCCTTCATAAAAGGACACTGACAGTGCAGTAAATGCACAACAGATATCATTTATGATTCAGTTATCGTTTTGGTCCGTAATTTGGCAGAAAATTGACAAAAATGGTCATCATTGTTTTCCAAAGTAAATGCAAGTGTTTTATTTTGAGTCAACAGTAATTGTGCTTACATGGAGGATAAAATAAATTGGAGAATATTTACTGTTGAGAAGTCTAATTTCTGAGAATTTGGAGCAAGGTTTTCAAGCGCTTAATTGTGCATACATTTTTTGGATTAATTTGATAATCAGGTAGTTGTCAATTAATTGATTAATCATTGCACCTCGAGTGAACTTTGTGTTATCCCACATTATTTGTACAAAGTGCTCTTCCTATTTTATATTTCAACTGTATGACAACATTTATGAAAAATAAAGTAAGAATTGTTTTCAGTTGTAGTAGCACAGACAATTCTCACAATTATTTCGAAAGATTTTATTCCAAAATATTGTACATTCATTGTAAAAATATTTTATTGCAGAACTATTTGAAACATGAGAATGATCAAACCCCAAGTGAATCTGAAATTATGGAAAAATACAGTATAGCTTTTGCTTTGTTCACACATCACATCTGCCATGTTTGGGGATCGAGATCAATGCGAGAAGAAAGACTCCACAGCAGATACAGAAGAAGGCAGATTTATGTGATGAATATTTGTTGGATACATTAAAGAATGGGCCAGGAGTGGACTCTGAAGAGGGTTGTGGAGTGATGTTAACAGGTACTTGCTGGCAAGGGGTGAGGTGAGGCGAACAAAGCAGGAGTACAGGAAAGGAAAGATGGTGCAGGAACTCTGAGAGGAATATAAAATACAGGTTGAGATCAAGGCAATAGTGCCTGAATATGAGTTGGATGTGAGTGACTCTTTGGCAGAGTCACACACATACAAATGAGAAGAGGCGGGGCAGCAGACCTGACACCAAATGGACATGGCAACGAATTAAGCAATCCCCGTGTAAAGGTCAGATGACAAAAGTCTCCGCTGTTAATATGTCACAAGCTGCTGGGGTGTTGACTGAAAAATAACGTACCACATCATGTGTGATAACCCGCGGTTGAGTGAAAGTTAGATTGAATAGTTCGGTGCGAGCTCTTTTGGAGTTCAGA